ATAAAAAATGTTATAAAACGGGAGATCTCGTTAAAATGGATTCAAACGGTCTATTACGTTTTGTTGGAAGAGCAGATTATCAAATAAAACTTCGTGGACAACGTATTGAAACGGGAGAAATTGAAAATGTATTGTTAAATTTTTCGCCTGAGATTGTGAACGTTTGTGTTGTGAAGTTTAACGATAAACTCAAGGGAGATTTGTTGCATGCATTTATTCTGAATCAGTCGGATTCTGTCTCGGGTGATTCCGGTCATGGTGAAGATGTGATGAAGCGTGATCTGATAGGTTTTTGTCAGTCGAATCTTCCGTTGTACATGGTTCCGACGGCCTGGTCGTTTGTTAGCAGTTTCCCGGTGAATGCGAATGGGAAGGTTGATAGAAAGGTTCTTCAGCAGATAGCTCCTGTAGAAGCTATTCGCTCTCCAAAATCTGGAGGTTGCAGCATTGCTAGAACGGATCTGGAGGAAAGTCTTCGATTGATATTCGTGGAATGCTTCCGTTTGGCGGATGCGACTGGCATAGATCTGACGGCTTCCTTCGGTGAATTGGGCGGTACGTCGCTGGGTGCGGTTAGAGCAGTGAACTTAATACGTGAAAAGGTGTATTCCGGCATGAATATTGGCCTTTTGTTTTCGTTTCCTTCAGTTCGACTTTTATCGGAAGTTATTGAACCTATGATAAAGGACGAGAGGTTTCAGGAAGTTAACAGAGTTCAGAGTCAGAGTCAATTAGCAGTACCGGATGTGGCGTCAGAGGTTAAACCGTCGATCCTTTTAGAGACATTAGGAATTATTATGTTGTTGTTTTATTATTTACTTCCGGTGTGGACAACAAGCTTCTTTCTTCGAGCACTAGAAATAAATAATGTGTGGATATATACCGGTTTTCATATTCTATTGATACCACCGAAGCAACTACTTATGTACATTATCTTGAAACGACTATTATTTCCAAACGGAATGAGAGCTGGCAAATACGAATTATATTCTGGAGATTATTATCGTTGGTGGTTTCTTAATCGTGTTTGGACTCTTAACTCCAGCCATTTGAAAGTTTTTCTTGGTACTCAGTTTTACAACATGTACTTAGAATTATGCGGCGCAAGAGTGAGCCGAAAAGATGTTCATATTTACACCACTCATATTGATGTACCTGATTTGCTAGAGATACAGAAAGCATCTGTTGTATCTCAAGACGTCATATTGAATAGTTTGTCTTATAATCTTGCGACTTATGAACTGCATTACATCAGAATAGGTTCAAATTGTACTATTGGCAATTACGCGGTCTTGTATAATGGAGTTCAGACACAGAATAATGTTATCATTAACCCAATGACGAGCGTGAGTGGAATTGTAAAGCAGAATGATTCTCAAATGGAGCCTACGAACTTACCAACAGAGGAAAAATTTACTATGAGCAACTTGCATTCACTCTGCCATTTGATGTGTGTTATACTCATTGTTTGCTCGCACGTAATATGCCTTAACGTTACATACTTAGTTTATTGTCAGTTTTTCTCTTGGACTCACCTCATAATAAGCATTCCAAGCTGCTGGATTATATGGTTATTCATGTGTATGCTTGTTACACTACTGCTGTTGAAAATTGTTATTGGTGACGTTGAACAGGGTAGTTATAATTTAAACTCATGGTACTATTTGCGTAAAATATGGTTTAGGCAATTGGTTGTGTCGAGTTTCGGCTTTTCGTTCCATATATTGGGTGCTTATCATTCGTGGTATCCGTTAATACTTGAATGGCTCGGTGCACACATAGACAACGATGGTGATATAAAGATAGCTCGATTTAATCGATTTTTACAACCACCATCAAATTTATTAAGTATAGGGAGCGGAATGACAGCGTTTGATGAAGTTTTATTAATCCCAGATAGAGTTGTTAGCGGACGATGTGTTACAGAAAAGATTATCATTGGAAATAACGCTCAAATGGGAAACCAGTGCCTTATTTATGGTGGTAGTACTATACCACCTTACTCCGTCGTTGGCAGTATGACGTGTGTGACACGAGACGATGGAATATTCGAACCAAAAGACATAATATTGGGAGTACCAGCACGTAAAATGCCATTTTATATGTCTCCAGCGTCAACTACAGTAGATGGTATTAGTAAAACGAAGACTAGTTTGACTTGTTCGTACTGGCAAAAATTAACAGCTGAGTTACTTGCCAAATCGATAATTGTCTTCTGCGCATTGGTCATCAAGTCATTGAATATCAATACGTGCTTCTCATGCTTGTTGCTCCTGATTGTTTACTCAGCGCTTCTATGTTTGTTGATGAATTCGCTGCAGGAAAAACCTCAAGCTGGACCACAACCAATGGCAGAGACATTAGGATGGCATCAAAGTATACTTCAGATTTTGCCTAGAGACTATATATTATTTATCAGTCCGTTATTGGATGGTACACAGTGGATAATCTATGTGTTACGTGGTTTGGGAGCAAAAATAATCGGTGACGATGTTCTCATATCGAATTTTACCAGTTTGACTGATTATACATTTCTTACAATATTCAACCATGTTCGAATAAGTCCACGGGCTCATATTCAAGTATGTATATTACATCTACTTCACGTAACAATTAATATGATTTTTGTTCCTTGTTCTAGTGTCATACCCACGAACAACGAATACTGAAAATGGTGCCAACAACAGTCGGTCCAAATTCGATATTAAGGAGTATATCGATGTTGTTTCCTGGCTGTCGATTAGAAGGCAATAATATTATAAATCCATGCACCTTAATACTTAAAGATGATCATCTGCCAGAACACACAGAATGGTTAGGGTGTCCACCAAAAATGATAGTACATTAGCGGCATTACAGCCTCATCCTTAACCTGGCGATCAAGAAACAACAAAAATATTTGTCAATATTGGTATGGCAGAAGAAGGGAGCAATAGTGAAATTGATGAACATACTCCAACACTAGCACCTGTTGATAATCGTAAGAATGATGATCAAAGTATTGACCCTATTCTTCGACTTCTACTTGTAAAAAACATAGCCTTTCTTTGCATCGTGTTTATTTTTCATGCATGTGTTTGTACTTTTTATGAATAAAGGATATACTTTTGTAACAAACTGGCTTACTAAAGCTTGAACTTATGTAAACGTAATGAAGAAAAACGCTGCACTTTCTCCACGATCAACACGATTTATAAATCAACGAACTTTTGTCAAAAGTTGTTAGCATTCAACTTTTCAAAATTACTTTTACCTCAGTGGTGTGTAGTAATAAACTATGTGCGCCCTTCAAACAATCTTTGTTCGAGCTAAACATGATATTGTAATAGATCTGACACGTTGTACTCTGTTGCCCAAAATTTGAAATTTGTGTGAGGTGTCTTTTTTATTTATAGTATAATAGTTCAACTGGCAATATCGTCAAAGGTAGTTCAATGGGAACTGAAAAATATCGAGGCTAAATTTCAAACGTTATTATGGGTATAGCTGATGGAATTCGTGAATCAGCAGATATACTTTGAAGACAATAATCTGGGCGCTTGAAGTGAAATAGCACATCGAAGTTATATGATACAAACTAGAAACGATTTGAAGACAATTACGAGCACAATACATCAGGTTTTTCACCATGAAGAACTATTTCTCAAAATCTGGTCCCAGCAGATAATGTTTAGAACCGTAACGGACGGAAACAGTTTCCGCTAGTAAATGATCCAGTATCGTTTTGCGTGAAAATGACCAAAAATGCCAAGAAGAACGTCAGAAATCTTGAAAACTTCAACTTGGAAGCAAAAGCGATTTTCAACTAAAAATTACAGTCACTGTAGTGCCACCAAACATAAGGTCATAACTCTTAGTTACAAAAGCAGAAATACTTAAGTTAGAGATCTGATTTTAACGCAATACTTAAATGTAATTTAAATTAAAAAAGTTTCATTCTTTTATCATTGTAGAGGCACAGTCACAAGTATGGAGAGTTGATCCTAAAAAAAAAAATATGAAAAGTTCAATGGCCACGTTACAAATCAAGTGAAAAACGAATGGGAATCACTGAAACTATCTCTGCATGATTTTATTGTTTTGTCTTCTACAAAAGATTATCACAGATCAGTGTTCTGGCAATATTTTGTTCAGTTGAAAGAAACGACAAATGATGATTCTCCACGACGATACAAAAATATTCTGCTGTTATTGTGTATATATTTGATTTCGCCTGTCAACTCTGCTGAATGTGAACTTGGGTATAAAAAAAATCGAAATTTCACGTTTTTCCACTTTGGATACTCTCCACTGCTATACATCATGTAACATGATGTCTAACAAACATGATTCATGTTTATTAGACCGATTCTTTTTGTTGAAATGAGAAAAAAATGACGATTCGATATGAAAAACTGATCTTTCTGTTCTATAGTCGCATGACATCGATAGTAGATACCCAAGTAGTGAGTGTATACATATTTTGAATCTTTTCTATTTTTTCCTGACTGCTAAGGGATACATCTAGTAGTAGAGAGTACCTGTCATTTTCAAAGTTCTAGAATAAAGAGGTAAAACCATTATTTTTAAGCAAGTTTTGATTTGTTTTCTGTACTCTGAAGTCATCGACGCATTGTTCTATGTTCCATTTTTGTGAAAATTTGTACATGTTTTTTTTCACTTTTTTTAGGTGAGTTATAATCGTGAAGTTAAAGTATTAAGTCAAAAACGAGATAGTGCTACGTATAGTGTAAAATTAACATTAAAAAATTCCAAACAAAAATCAGTGAAATATGAATACAAGGAAATTATTTCGGCTGTTAAATTTACTGTTGTGCCCAAAGGTGATAATTCATCTAAAATTAAAATTCTTTCCGAAGGTTTCAAAATTGATGAAGATGATGAATTACAAGAAAGTGGACAAGAACGGATTTTTGAATACGAAGTTCAGTTAGAATATAGAGATCCAACTAAAGATTATGAATCATAGAATAATATTCAAATGTATACATTTTTTTAAAAATTCTATGTAATTGTTAAAAATGAACGAGCCGAACAAAATGACGAATGGGCAACAAACACAATGAACCACGACAAAAAAAAAATTGCGAGCATCGAGTACTAGTGGAGGTAATTACAATTTAAGAAGATTAAAGGTATTCTATAAAATATTGTGTTCACTTAGAAATATACGTCAACAAGATTTAATTCGATTATACGACAGTAATCGACCTGTCTCTGCGGCTGTTCATCAACGAAAACGTGCGTACGAGCTAACACTATTCCACTATGAACTGTGTAGTGAAAAATGTTTATTTTTAGAACTGACTACACCATCTGGTATAAAATTATTTTCTCGTCCAAACTCAGCTGATGGTCCAACTGAGAAAGGTAAGTCGCATGAGTGAAACACTTTAGGCTAATATAAGAAATATAATTGAGCAAATTCCATGTCCTCAAAACGGAAGAAGTACCGCTCGGTCACCGTTCAGTATCCCGGCCGCTATATCGGTAGCAAAATCGAAATTACCGCAGGGTAACCGTGGTCACCGTTCGGTTGCCGATATAACCAGCGTTACCGTTCCGTATTTTGTCATTATAAACAAGTAGTACAGGAGTTCGAATCTAGTTTTCAACTTTCTTCTCTTTGTTGAGCGTTTGTAAGCGCAGAGAGGCTCACGATTAAGAGAAATTTGTTTCGAGTCGAAGTCAAACTCCGACGAGTCTATATGATCTAAAAGAAAACAAGTTTTCTGAATTTCCGTATTTCTTATATCAACTGACGGGTGCAAAACAAAACGGTGAATGTATAAAAACGGTTACCGTGCGGTAGTTTTCTGTACCGCGGTCTAATAAATTACCGTCGGTTAACTGTTAACTGACGGTAATTTGTTGAACCTAAAAAAGCTCGACATGGGAAATCAGATTAATTTTTTGATATGATATAAAAATAGAAAACAGTTTGAGAAATCTTTCATGTAGATTTGAATCGTGATTTTGTTGAACAATTAAATGAACTTTCTTCAAAACAACATCGACGCCAGTATTCAGGTAAAAGGAAGAGTGCATGAATTGAGGATAATGCTACTAATAATATCTTGCCTCTTCTACTAATGTCTAACGCATTTATTTTATAGATGGTAATAGGTATGTACCGATGTTAGAAAAAAACGATGTTCGGTTTAAACCGACACCGAAAAACTCTCAAACATTTTTAACTAAGCTTTTAAAATGATATAAACGGTGAGCACATAACATCTGTTTACTATTGTCAAAGAAACATCTGATTTTATCTGTACCTGTTTCAGTCAACCAACAATCGAAAAACTAAAACCAGAAAAAAGCACACGCAAATCTACATATTGACTTAACGAGCTATAAAGGGTGTTCTAGAAGTTCTGAAGTAATTTTAAAATAAATCATTCTAAAATTACTTCAGAACTTCTAGAACACCCTTTATATAGCTATCGAAACACAAAATTTCACAATAATACTAACGAGAGGACCTCTCCAGATGTCTAACGCCGATTTCAATGATCTTTTGCCGATAGATACTACATAGTATCCTACTATCTATGAAAATTTCTTGAATGTTCGGTTTTTTCGGTGTCGGTTTAAACCGAACATCGGTTTTTCGGTTTGAAACCGAAACCGGTGAATACCTAGACGGTAATAATAGATTAAGAATTTTAATAGGATATTTCATTACTTTTTGTGTTTTTTCTAATATTCTATTAAAGTTAATGTTCAATCTATTAAACTGATGTTTCACCAATATCTGCCTTTGTGTATATACGTATCTACTTAATGTATGTGTATCTATTATGCTTTATATCTTAAGCCTCTTCCTGATGTCGGAAATGCTAAATTTCGATGAATAGTTGATATTAGTTAAAGTACGTGCTTGGATAGCCTAGAATTCAGACAAAAGCCGTACTGATTTCAACAATATTCTTGGCTTTTAAGAAAGTTTTCTGAAAGTCTTTAAAAGCAGATTCAAAAACCCTCTTTATTCTGAGTTTTTAGTATATGATTCCATTTCGATACTATCTGTTTGTGGAAGAAATTTTCTAATCAAAATGAATCGTCGAATAATTTTCAATAAATCTAAGTCTAAAAGTTGCTTATTCATCAGAAAAACTCAGGTGGAAATTGGCGTTTATCACTTCCTTACTCCTGTCCAGCTTTATCAGATCCCTCTTTTCTATACCTGGAGGTCTTTTAAAAATGAACGCGATATACAGAAAACACGGACGAGTGAACCTCCGCAAATGTTCTCTCGTTTTTTTAACGAAATGTGGTAGGTTATAAGTAATCGGCCATGCTGATTCCGAATATGATATTCATTTGGGCCTGTAGATGTTTCCTAGTCGGTTTCTGGAAAACCAGTTTTCCAGAAACCTCGAAAAATTCCCAAACTTTTTCTAAGTAAGTCATGATTGTGACCCACGAAATTCTGATCAAAATGAGACATCTCTCAGCCTCCACGACCTTTCTTTGCAAAGTTATGGAGTTTACAAGAAAAGCCCTAAATATTCAATGTCACCTCAAAGCTACAGAAAGAAAAAGGAAAAAGGAATTTAGAGTTTTCCTTGTAAACTTTATAACTTTGCAAAGAAAGGCCGTGTAGAGCTGGAAGATGTCTCATTTTGATCAGACTTTCGCGGGCTACAATCATGACTTATTTAGAAAAGTTATATATGTTATATAAGTTATATTTAAAAGACCCATGGGCCGCAATGAATATCATATTCGAAATTGGCATGGACGGCTACCTATAACCCACTACATTTCGTTAAGGACACAAGGGGACCATTGGGGGAAGTTCCCGCGTGAGTCTACCTTATCTCAGACGTGCTTTTTCTGTCAGCAGCGTTTACCATTTACCAAATTCTCAGTAATAAAGCATCAGATGAGGTTAATTTTCTTTCTTAAATTGAAGATACAATATACAGCAGTGATAGCATAAAGCCCAAATATTTTTTAAAGGGTTTCATGATTTGGAATAGAAGATTTATTATCACACAACGGATAAGAAGCAAAAATAGAAATAATCGGCTCTGATTACATTATTCTCATACTGTATATAATAAACGAAAGTCAAGTCGGGTTTTCCAGCTCCATGTTTCTCGTAAACGATGATACATGGAGAGTTGAGAAGAAATTTCGTCTTCATGCTTTTTTCGGATGGTCAATATTACGGGAAAATTTGTTTGATCTAGATTAAACTTTTAATTATTGAGATAGATTTCTGACACGGGAGAGGAGGGAGCTCAACGTTTTATTGTAAAACTGTTCTATTGTACTAACATCTCCGAATCAAAGCTCATATCTCGATCCGTGTTTAGGTATATATCATCTGCATGCAGTCAACAACACAGCCACATTACCGTTGAGTGATCAAAGTAATACACAGTCTACAACAATTCCCACTTCAAAACATATTCATCCAGAGACACTCATCGGTTCTTCATCTACATTTGATTGTGAAAATAATACTGAAG